CGCAGGCCGGTTCGCTGCCGCGGCGCGGCTCGGTGCACACGGGCGGGTGCACACGGGCCGTCGGCCTGTTCTCGTTTGCTTTTTCCGCTGAAGGTGGAGACACAGTGAACGGGATTTCTGGTCTCCACGTGTGCCCCACCCAGTAAGCTGTCACCTATTTTGCTAACCATATCCTTTAAAGGTATGGGATGACATGCTTTTGCAATGTATCAGTGGAAACCAGCGCGCCCTTTCATAGATCTCAAGGTAGAACTTGAGCTCTTTGAAGATGCCCTGAATGTGTGGCTACACCAAACTTGTGAAAGCGCCCTGTGTTCCCCAAAGTGATCTCCCTACCACCGAGGAGCCGAGTCCCCCACTTGGAGAGAAGTGTGTACCTGCCTGGCCCCTTCTCCCCCTCTCCCGCTTTCCCCTTCCTTCCTTCCCCCTCGCCCTGGCTAAAGGGACTTCTCGCAGACAGTTCTTGACAAGTGGATTCTCCAGTAGCTTCCCCGCAGCGCTGACCCTCTGGGCCGGTTCTGGTTCTGCACACTAAGTTTAGCTTGATAATCCTCGTCCCCTCAGTCCCCAGGCTCCACTACCATGAAGGTGAAGATTAAGTGCTGGAACGGCGTGGCCACTTGGCTGTGGGTGGCCAACGACGAAAACTGCGGCATCTGCAGGATGGCATTTAATGGCTGCTGTCCCGACTGTAAGTGTCTCTCTCTGAGTTCTGCCTACTCACCCAGCCTCGGAGGCTCCTGGTAAATACCTGCACAAAATCCCTGGGTTTTAGTTTCTCTTTCCTGAGGAAGAGTTGACAGAAAAAAATAAAGCCAGGCAGGGGCCGGCCCTGGGCTCACTTGGGACAGTGTGGTGCTGACAACACAAAGTCAAGGGTTTGGATCCCTATATAGGGATGGCCGGTTGGCTCACTTGGGTGAGCGTGGTGCTGACAACACCAAGTCAAGGGTTAAGATCCCCTTACCGGTCATCTTTAAAAAAAAAAAAAAAAGCCAGGCAGTTTGGGCCCATGTTTTTATAAATATCCTATAAGAAGTTTGTTGCCTTTTATTGTGATCAGACTCAGCTGTTAAACACATGGGACAAAAAGAGATTTGTTAACATTTTCAATTTGAACATTCTCGAACAAACAAAATGGAATGGTATAAGGACACCCCCTGCCCAGCACACTGAAGAACAGTGGAGTGCATGCCTTGTGGGCCTAAGTATTTTAAGGTAAATCACAAACATGATATATCACACCACATTTCAGTTGTTTGTCTTTTTACCCCCCGCTATTGTAACATCTGACAACACGACTATCATTCCACCAGCTTCCACAAGTGTCTTTTTATGATTGGGTAGTTTGAGCTGGGATTCAACATTTCTACATTGCTCTGTCTCTCAGCTCTTTAATCTAGAACAGCTCCTCCTCTACCCTTCTTTTAGGGTTTTCTGAGACGTTTGACTTAAAAACATGGTGTGTTGGGCCAAGCCCGTGGCGCACTCGGGAGAGTGCGGCGCTGGGAGCTCCCGCCGCGGGTTTGGATCCTATATAGGGATGACCGGTGCGCTCACAGCGCTCAGTGGCTGAGCGCGATGCGGCTGGTCTCAAAAAGGACAAAAAAACCCAAAAAAACAAAAAAACATGGTGTGTTGTCTTGCAGAGTGACCTGGCTTCAGGTTTTATCAGAGTTTTTTCTTTTTTTTTTTTTTTTTTTTTTTTTAA